GGATGACAGGAGACGGAGGAACTGAAAACAGCAGTGCCAGCAGCTCCAGGGTGGCAGAGCCTTAAGGCACGCTGACACGCCGTGGCCTGTGAGCTGGGCCATGGGCTGCTCCACCCAAACTCAAAGACAAGCTGAAAGAGAGGAAATGCTCATGTTGTAATAACAGTGCAAGAGGGAACTTGCATGATCCCTGTGCACCTCGTGACCCACGGCGTGTTTTTCTGCTCCTGCTGCTCAGGACACAGTGAGACTGAGGGATGTCAGGGGGATCCAGATTTCCTTCCAAATCTCAGATAAGAAAGCTACAATTGTCAAACATATGAAAGCGTGGGGATCAAAACACATTAACAAGCTACGATCCGCATAGAGAACAATCACCCAGCTCCAAAATGGTTCCAGAAGTGATTTCAGCCACTCGCAGCACAGCCACAGCCCTGCTGGAATTGCTGATGCTCCCAACCAACAGCTGCAGGCTGCTGCTGCACCAGCTTCAGCAAGAGGCATCTGGAGGCAGGTTGCATCACAGTCACGTCCACACCAGGCACCACTGCAGCACATTTACCTGGCAGTTAGAAACAGATCACAAAACACCCGCAGCATTTTACAGCGTTTAAAAAAGAACCCAATGGGTTTGATGCGGTGCGTTAAGGTGTGACTTGAGCCCCTGCAGTAGTGAGATACCCCCCACTGACTGCAGCCCCCATGGGATTACATTAAGCAATGATCACAGAACAAGGAACTTGCCACTCAAGCAGTCCTCCAGTGACAGACTGCTCTGCAGACAGATGCTCCTAACAGGGCTCCTGGAAAATCTGCACAGGAGGCGAGTATCAAGATGCTGTCCTCAAAAGTTAGCATTAGAATAAATCTCTTTAACCTCATCATCCTCTTAGAAGAGGTTTTTTATATTTAATTAAAAAAAAAAAAGTAAATTTGCACATCTGAGAAAGGGGATTACTAAGAAAAGTGCAGTAATATTTCCTTATGCTGTTCTACGGTGAAGAAACATTAAAAAATTAAAAACATTGCCACAACTCTCTGGAAAGTTACATCTTACATGCTATTTTGAGAATATTTGTTATTTCAACCATCAAAAACTGTCAAAATATGTATAATAGTAAGTTTTTTTTAAGTCTCATTAGAATCAAAAACATGCAGGCTTGGTGGTCACATTGAAATTTGTGTTTAAGTGTTAAACTCCATTTGGATTCGTTCACTGCAGGAAATATAAATGCAAAATTTACTGTATCTCGAGTTTGTAATTGTGAAGATAAATATTTGAACCTTTTGCTTTCTGAATCTTTATGAAATCAGCAGTGTAACTTCTATACAGCCCCAGAACTGACATCAAACACTTCTTCCCCAAACCATAAACTGAAGAAAGAACCCGGCTGCAGTTCCATCCATACCTGTATACTCACAACAGTTCAGAACAGAGCTGAACAAAGATGACCAGAATTACCTTTCTCCTTTTGTAATAAAAAATGCAGTTGCATTATTGATTGGCTTGAAAGCTAGACTAAGAACCAGGAATGACTGAATATTCATTGTGGCTGTGCCAGTGCCCTGCTGCCTGACCCTGGTTCCTGTCTGCGTTCTTATCTACGCTGCAGACAGACTTATGCACAAACAGAGCCTATATCCGCGAAGATAGGCACCCATAGTAACGAATCACATCTGAAGCAGTAACAAGAACAGGCAATAATTAACACCAGCAGCACATTTTGCTCTCATTCATTAAGCCTGACGAGAGCCTTCTCCAGCCTCACTTCCCTCCCACCACCCAGGGTGACGGGCACAATGCTGATGCTCCTCCAGAGACAAAAGCAGACAGAGCAAGGGTGAGCAGATCTCACATCGCTGTGGCATTAAGCTTTGCCACAGCCACTCCTGCTCTCCCCACCGTGAGCAGCACTGCTATTTCATGCCCTGGAGAAGCACTGGGTCGGTCTCCCCAAGCACCCGTCTGTCCCCAGGATGCTGCTGGCTGGCTGTGCTGCAAGAGGAAAGCCACAACACCAGCAGAGCCCTGGCACAGCTCCTGGAAACTGTGAGCACAAGGCAGCCCTTGCTGTTCCACCTGCTAGTGAGCAGCTCTGCCATCACCTGCACACATAGTGTGAGAACCCATTCATGCCATCGCACACTTTGAAGACAGAAACAGACATCAATTTTTAGCACCGAGTTGTTCTTGAAGCAGAAGAGAAGGAAAAATGAAGATACCAATAATGATTTTGAATGTGAGTGATCCTGAAGATTGACGGTTAAATTCCGAACTGGAGGTCTTTCACTTAAGTAAGAGGTATAAGAGAAAGAGCTTCGAATACGGTAATCATAACTGAAAGCATTACTGAAAGAACCTGCACACAACTATTTATCTCATGGCCAACCCCAGGGACTTCCATGGAACTCGTTCCAGCAGGAACTCCAGGCAGGGAGCTCCACACAAGGAGCAGATGCAAGCTCACATCACCACCTAATGGGTAATGCTTTATAAAAACAAGGATTCACCTTCATCATAAATATTAATGGTACTATATTTAATACTCACGAGATTTACATTTCAAGGAGTAAACAGAAATTGCACAGATTAATTCCCCTTAAACAGAGGATTTCTTGTGTTTGCTTTTAATTGTCAAAGGAAAAGTCCTGAGCTGAGATAAAGCAACACTAAGTGCCAATACCTACAGGATCTTGTTTTCTTTAGAAGGCAGAAAGCTGCCTGTGCCCAAGAGGTGCTTCCAGACCTAACCACAGCACACTGAGCACTCAGCTCATCACACCACTGCAAAGTGGGGAGTCCTGGCATGCCGTGCATGAAGCACCAAGCCTTCCTGCCCAAGCAGAGCTCACAAAAGGTCCGTCAAGCCACAGGCAGCATCTGTCACAGAGCATTCAGCAACAGGCTGGAGAGCGAAGTACAATGCTGCATTTATTCATCAGCATCGGGCCAGAGAGGAAATGTGCTGGCAAGTTTGTAAACAGTTTCCTCACTCTAGCAGAAACATTGTTTCAAGTTCTTGGCAAATTCATTCCAAACCCCTCCTCATCCTGCCCATTCTCCACTGGGCTGAAGTGCAGGGTTACATTACCATGTTTGTTTTTCAAAAGCACTGGTGACCAATGGCCGAGTAGAACCAGATTTCTCAAGGCAAGAGTTGAGCCCATGAAACCGAGGCACAGAATGAACAACATAACTCAGGAAAATTCATTATTTTAACAGACTTAAACAGAATATAGAAAAATACAGGCATCCTTTGTGTTGTTTACTTGTCAAACAAGCAGCTGGGCCCATTTCTTTGTCATCTGTTGAGATACAAATTACTTTTCACTGCACCAAGTACTGCGACACAACACTTTCCAATTAGGAGTTTCCTAATGCCCCATCCCTGCAGGCATTCAAGGCCAGGCTGGATGTGGCTCTGGGCAGCCTGGGCTGCTGGTTGGTGACCCTGCACACAGCAGGGGGTTGGAACTGGATGAGCATCATGGTCCTTCTCAACCCAGGCCATTCTGTGATTCTGTGACGAGGACATTGCTGACTGATCACAGTCCTGCAAGTCCAACACACCAACTCCATGCGGGAAGAACTGGCAATCACTGAAACCATTTACAGCAGTGCTAACATGGCACCTCTCTGAGCAAAGGCAGCAGTCTGCCCATGGCCCCCATGTGAGCCAGAGGCACAGTAAGTGCCAGCACTGCTCCTGAGCTTCTCCTCCTTGTGGCATTGACGCCTAAGAATTTTTTCCTGCGTGCTTCTCAGTGTTATTGAAACACCAAGCGACGGAACGAGATTTTGTCATACACAGATTGGAACTTAATTCCTAATAAAGCCTGATTAGGCTGCCCAGAGCCCGAGGAGCCAACAGCTCCGTTCGTCAATGACTAACACAGATTATTCAGTAATGATAAAAGGCAACATGTGACAGGTCTTGAAATGAGATGGAAGAGAACGTTTAGTTTCAAGTAGCACATCTGCTTCTTGTCATAGCAGCGAGAGCTATTCTGCTCAGCAGACAAACACCAAAGTCACCTTTGCTCACCAAAATGCTCATGCTGCAGAGCCTACAAGTCACCCACCTGCAGTGCCATGGTTAACAGCGTGGGGAAAGAGAAAGAAAAGAGAAACAGCATTTTATTCTGAAACAGAGAGGAAATCTTTTAAGTTTTCAGCTAACTGCACACTTCAGATATTTTGAAGTGTATAAACAGGAAAAAGGGGGAGAAACTGAATGTTTTTTTCTGTGCATGAAGACTAGCCGAAGTTTCGGCATTTCAGTGTTAGTATTATTTGTCAATGCTTGATTTTCAAAGAAAATCAAAACCTTTGGAACAATTATTTTCAATGAACTCTTCTGTCTAGATCACACACATATACATATCCTGCTAGTAGCAGCAAGTTTGTACGTGAAAAAAAAAGGGTAAAGAGAAGCCTTCAGAAAAGCATTGCGGCCTCAAAACCACAGCAGTACGTGCCTTCACACAGAGCAGACAGCAGTCTGTGAAGGATTTTAAAAGTGGCAACTGAGCTGCCATTACTTCTTGATGCTCACAATACCGTTATGCTATTTTTAAGCAGGTAAATGTGACAGATAGTGCTGTTATTGCATTGAACTGCCTTTGTGATTGACTCCATTCCAAAGCACGGCCTAAATCTAAGGGGAAAAAAATACACACAAAAAAAACCCCAGCAACTAATTCCTGCATCTTACCAAAAAAACTCCAGCTAAAACCAACCAACGCCCAGAATGACCACTTCTCTTCCAGCAGACACATTAAGATTTATTTGCAGTGCTCAATCAGCACTCATAAAGCAAATAACCCCTTTTCAAACCGCAGCCTGCATCTTCGCCACAACATGAAGTGCTCCACTCCAAAGCACTCAAAAAAAAGCATCCACAGCCACGGCAAGCACAGCCCATCTCATCTCATCTCTCCTCTGAGGCTTTTCTCAACGCTCCCATGCCCAGGTACCAGCAAACAGAGAGCAGACTCACCGACAGGTAGCTGCTGGCATCCACGTTGTCGGTGATGGTCTGGCGCTCACCCCTCTGGTTGATCTTCCTAAACCTGCGCCGCGACTGCCGGAGGGGGACTTCTCTTTGCAGGATGCTTTCCTCATTGTCTTTGGAGTTCTCCACCTGAAACACATGTTCGGGTTCCTGGTTAAACATCCAGTTCTTCCATAGCACCGAGAGCCGATGGAGCCGTAGCAAGCTCATGAGGAAGGAACAAACATCAGTTGAGACCAGTTAGATTTTTCTCAAGAAAACGACAGCAGATGCTTTGGAGAACTGCTGGGGCATGGCTCAGAGCGACGTTCTTACAATGAGCCGGAGGCCGCAGCTTCCTTCCAGGAAATAGGGTTTTTTTTTCTTTTTTAAAGCTGCACCCGTATCCTCCAAATAATGTCACTCGTGGGCAGAAAGGCTTTTGCACCACACACATTACACAATGAGAGTTATATGCGTGTCAGATTCTAAGGATGCCCTCAACAGAAGTTACCATTTAGATATTTATGCTTTTCAACCCTGGCCATTCTATGATTCCGTGACACAATCTGCTTAAAGCCACTGAATTATATTCCATTTTTAACGGGGTGTTTCTTCAAAACTTAACAATTTCATGCAGTAGTCACAGAGAAGCAACTTACAACATCCCTGTTCTGTTGGTTGTTTAATTGGTGTGGGTCTTTGCTTTGGAAAAAGCTCTTAGCCCTACTTTCCCTATGCCATACCTATTTCTAACCACTTCCAACAAATTATGAAGAATTCACTGGAACTTGATTCACACCTTGCTGATAAATCACATCTTCAACTAAACATTAAAAATAAGGTAAATTTATCTTGTTAGTAAAAGCCAACAGGAATCCTTTTTATCTCACTAGCTCCAATTCCTTTTTCTTCTATAAAAAGCAGTCCCATCCCTCCCCACTTCCTTCTGATGTTTTGGAAAAGTGTATCCTAGCAGGAAACAGAGCAGACGTGCTGCAAATGGGCTGCAGCCAGCAAGAAGCTCCTCTACCATACAGTTACACTATAAGTTTCTACTGCCCTAAATGATTTTTTTAAACAGGCTTTCCCAAACGTAAGACTACAGCAGTAGAACAGGAGAAGCTCCACGTTGCATTATGCAGCCCTCCCTTCACACACTTGGGTAAATTATCTCCAAATTCAAATGCAAAAAGGTATACAGGCATGAAAATTAGGAAGATTTAACGGGCAGTAACAAGTCTCTGAAAATAGCTGAACCATTCACAGAAGCAACATCACCTCCACTTTCCACATTGCTTTTCTCAGAGGTCAGAGGAAGGCGCAGGTGACGGGCTTAGTTTGCGGGTTATTTTTAATTCCACAGAGAGAAATATACACTGGCAATGCAATTTAAAGATATGCTAGATTTTAAATAGAAGGCTGCTCTCCCATTGCAGTGTTACCAAAAAGAAAGCAGAAAAGCAGAGCTCCCTCAGTAAGCGAGAACCACGCTTTTCATTTCTCAAACTGCACACAGGTTTCCTGAAGCAGATGAGGTTTGGTTTCTTACATTTACTCTAATAAGTAACCTTTAAAACTGCCTTGCTTCCATTGTGAATTTTGTGCACGTGCAACACGAACTGCTTCAATAAATGCACTGTTTCTTCTTTCCTTTGGGTTCAGCCTTACGGGAGCACAGACAGTAAAGCAGGGCTGTGTGCATCTGGCACCCAGTGATGGGGCTCCCTGCAGCAGTAGGCAACCACCAGCCCAGCATTGAGGACCTTTACTATCAAACCCCCAACTGAACAGATAGTTTGAAGGCTAAAATAAGCACCTACTGCAAGATGATGCTGTTTTTCCTCCACAATTCTAACTGAAAACAAAGAGGTGAGCACAAACGCATGATTTGGTAACACAAGGGCAAAACAACCAACTGCCAGTGGAAACGCAGAACTGAGACCACCTGCTTCCTTCAGTTAGCACTGCAACCGACCAAACAAAACAAAAATACAAATCAAAACACCACGAAAGAGCCCTGCACAGCTTCCAGTTCAGTGCCACCAGCAGACGGCTGCCAGTCCGGCTGGTGGTGCTCACGGCCGTCACTGCGCCTACTGCTGGTTCTGAGCACCCAGCTTCCCCAGCACAAGCAGCACTCAGCCCTCCCTGCACCAGGTTGTCACCCAGCCTGCTGGCACAGAGCACAGCCAGCACAGCACCACGGGACAAAGGCTTCTGCTGAGTGCTGCAACACTGCAGCGGCACAGCGCAGGAGCAGGCACCAGCTTGATGGCACTGCTGCCCAGCATGCTCCTTCCTAGCATCTTTTACACCTATTATCTGAAAACAACTGGATCAGCTTACTAACTGGGCACGTTCTGAAGAAGGGTGCTGCTTTGTTTAATTGGGTTCTGGCAGCTGCAGGCTGCTCCATGCAAACTGCTTCCCCCGCTGCGTGTGCTGCCACAAAAAAATAACAAAAACCAAAGGGATCATGAAATTGTCCTCAGTGCGGCTCTGCACTTGGTGCCAGCACCTCCAAACACCACGCTGCTCCTCTGCTGTCTTACAACGAATCTAAAGACAAAAATGAAGATGCCAATGTACAATTTCCACGTACATGGAAACACTGCAGTTCTGGGCCATTTTCTTAAGTGACAAATGGCCCCATTATTAATTCAATAGGTTGTTCAGCCTCCAAAATATGAGCTACTCTGCCTACTCACACGCTATCTGTTATCCTCATTAACTTAAGATGACCACATTTTATGGCCTTTAAAATGGGTCAGTTCCCAGAGGATTCCCATTTCAAAAAACTGATTTACATTCTAAAAAGAAAGAGGAAAAAAATAGGAAAGCAGCAGCAAAAGCAGAGAATGGCAGCAGTCTTTAACTGGGTTAAAGTAGTGAAAGCTTTCACTTGAAGATAAATATTCATTAGGCATTGCACATCTAATTGGATGTTGCATATTAAAGAAAAACTCTCTTGGAAAAAAAGGGTGAAAGAAATTAAGAGAAAGTAATAAGAATTAATCAGGGAAATGAAGCTGAGCACGCTTTCTGTCACAGCAGCCCACTAGTGAGGCAATGCCACCACACTGAGGCTCTCTTCTCACCCCACTGCAAGTCCCACATAGGAAACTGACAGTACTTGAGCTATATTTTCCTCTAAGTTATGAACTGTGGACTTCTAGTTCACTGATTTTCCTACAGAAGAGGACACTGAAGTTCCATAAATGGACGTAAGGTACTCTCAGGTGCCTTTATTCTCTCAGTGGAACCTAACTACAATCACAGGAAATCCAAGAAAGAATTTTAAAGCAGAGAGGACAGTCGTCCAGGCTGTGCAGTTCTCTCCAGGAACAAGTGTCAGCATTTGGCAATGCTGATGTATACAAGTGGCTTCTGCAGGACTGTGACACTCCCCCTGGGAAACCTCACAGCAGTCACACACACAAAAAACTCTCCAGTTTCACAGAACCATAGAATGGCCAGGGTTGAGAAGGACCACGATGATCATCTGGTTCCAACCCCCTGCTGTGTGCAGGTCACCAACCAGCAGCCCAGGCTGCCCAGAGCCACATCCAGCCTGGCTCTGAATGCCTGCAGGGATGGGGCATCCACAGCCTCCTTAGGCAACCTGTGCCAGTGCCTCACCACCCTCTGTGTTAAAAACCTCCTCCTCATATCCAACCTAAACCTCCCCTGTCTCAGTTTAAAACCATTCCCTTTGTCCTATCACTATCCACCCTCACAAACAGTTGCACCTCTTCTGTTTACACGCTCCCTTCAAATATTGGAAGGACAGCAACATGCTCTATGGAGATGATACTTCTTTGTGTGTATCTTCACTTTATTTTTTTCCCCCCATTTGGTTGCCCAGGTTTTTGCTTGGGTGTTGCTTTGTGGTTTGTTTTTTTTTAATACAATGATGATAACAACATAAACTTTGCCCATGGAAAATATTTCATGTAAACCAGCAAACCCACTTGCAGCAGGTGAGTCACTGCCAGGAGGAGTGACACACTTTCCACCTCAAACAGCAGTTGCACCAGTCCATGGCATTTCTGCAGGACACAGCACAGTGGCTCTATGAGCACCTGGAGCAGCAGGTCTGTAAGCACAGGGCTGTGCAATTAGCTTGTGAGTGAAAACAGTCTAAACTGTTGGTCTGTTTAGAAACAGAGAGAATTGTTCTCAGCTCCATCAGCCTGAAGGGCCTCCAGCAGACAGGAAGGCACCCACGGGGCCAGGCAGATCCCTGTGCCACAGTTTGGTGCAGCTCACCTGACAGAGCAGACATCTGTGCACACAGCATCTTTTAATGAACACATGAACTTGGCAGTTTGTAAGTATTCACAGGAAGTGCAATGGACATGGAAAAGGTCGATGGCAGCGAAGCTGAAAGCCTTATCCTTCAAGCTTGGCTAAGCATCCTGTGCTCCTTCAGCTCTTACTTAAAAGCCTTCACACTACGTGGAATTGCAAAGCTGAGAATAAGAGTACCACTTTCCAGCAGACCCAGCACTGCTAGCCTGGCCAGTAAAAAGCAATGAATCAGGGGGTGAGGATGGAAATAAAATATTCAAGATAGCAGTCTATTGTTCCACAACTCAGGAATGCTCAAGTCAGCCCTAAAATGGTAAGCTTTGGAACTCAAATAAATACAATTTTGAAAGGAATGACACAATCATTCTAATCATCACCATCATTCACCCATTTAGATTAAACGTACGTGACTTCTGCCAGTATGATAGCAGCCCTAGGTGTAACTGAAATCAAGGCAGTTTTGCTGCAATTTTATAAAATACTTCACAATAAGCTTTTTGCTATAAGACAAAAAGAATTTGCAGAAATCAGCAATACATTAAATACATCTGAAAAATCTGCCTTACCACAATCATTTCTGAAGGCTCCAGTATGATACATTCGCATCCTCGTTTTCCTCCAGACTGCTTGCCAAAACTACATAAGGACAGAAAGAAATGAAAAAGAATGAGACAAACAGCTCAGCTCATCTTTTCGGTACTAAAAGCAATCAGCTCTGGTGCAGATTACCTACTCTGCAAAACAAACAAACAAACAAAAAAAAAAACCAATTGGGTGAAATTATTGTACAAAAAATTCCAACATAACAGCATCATTAACATATTTTTTTAATTATTATTTACTCAGTCCCTCCCATCACAGGCTGTTATGTAAAGCTCAGATACAAAGAGCTCTCATTCCTAAGATCACTGCTCTTTGCAGATGCCCAAACCCACTCAACGCCTCCAGCACTGGCTGCAGACCTTCTGTCCCAGCTCAGCCTGTGCCACACAGCCGGGCTCAGGTGAAAGCCTTCCCAGACAGACAGCAAATTAAAAAAAGTCTACTTCATTAACAGCATCCCAACTGGATTAGCAATGCTGGAGCTGTAGCTGCTGTGTTACAAAGTCAGGCTGCCAACGGCAATCAACTTCTAACACATCAGCAGGCAAAACAAGTGAAGAATCAGCTAACTTGAAGGAAAGACTGATGTTTGCATTACAACAGGGCTAAGGCAAACGCAGAGATGAACCCTAAGAAGTAGATATGCTTTGCTGGTTTCTGCTATGGTTACGTTTGGAAAGCACATCTGGAATTTCAGCCACAAAGCATTCGAGTTGCAGCCATCTCTATAGAACACCACCACTGTGCAGACCTCTGAAAAGACCTGTGCTTATAAGCTGCACTTCTACATACAAAATCTCGTCCAGGACATTTGTGTTCTCAGGAAAGGAAGTGAAGCTTCAGCTTTTTCCAGCCAATATATTATTGGTGCAATCCTACAGGCTGGCTGTCAGGATAAAGCACTGCAATTAGCAGAAGCACCGCAGATTAAAATGTCAAGTCTTGATTTTATTAGTGATTTACTGAAAAAAAAAATAACCAGTAAGTGAAATAACTGCTATGAAGTCATACTGGAATTTTCTCATGCATGCTAGAGAAGGCCAGAAGAGCACAGGTTTCACACTGAAAATTGGTATTTTCCACACATGTAGAGCAAGCGACTGGTAGCTGAAGTTCTCACGGCTTCAGTCACTTGAAAAGCATTCACTCATGCTTTTGCCATGCAGTGTGAGCTTCTGAGCATCTGCAGTGCATCAGATCTATTCCTCCACTAACCAAAAGAGAAAAACAAAGCGAAACAAACCAACCTTCCGCAGCACGGCGCATTTGCATTGAGGAAAAAAAAAAAGCTGCAGTTCTAGTTTTACTTCATGCAGCGAAGAAATTGAAAAGAACAGATCTTCAGATGGAAATCTAGAGGTGCTATGTGCAACTAGAAAATGTCTGCATCCTTTTAGAACAGAAATTATCTGTTAATAATAATAATGGTTCTGGTACAGTTGTGCTTCCCTATGCTTCTGTCGCAACATTTGTCAATTAAGCAATGATCACACACACAACACGATAGGAAGAAGACGTCGCTTCGATCAAAGGTCAGGCTCTGGGCGCTGCCCCTTCTGGTCCATCAAGCACTTTACAACAACCAAACACTTGCAGAAAGGTTACATTCCAACAACAAAACCCACCCTGCAGATCCTAAGGAATAAACGCCTCACGTTTACCAGTCAATAGGTCATGGTTAATTACTTCCTGGCACGCACCACGCGATGTTCTCTCACCAAGCTGAGACGTGGGCACAGTTTCCCCAGCCATTACATTCTCATCAATGAACGTAACCAGAGTCTTAAATCTACACGCCTTTATTCCACAGCTGCCTGCTGCCATAAGACTCAGCTGTACGAGCCACATCACGGCTCTTACAACCACACTGCATGCTCCTGTTGCTTGCTGCTCACCTATTACATCTGCACCAGCAGCTTTCAGACACTCACTGGCTTGTGACCCAGCCACATGAGCAACATCTCCCATGTAAACAAAGGCGGCTTTGTTTACCCCCGCACGCCCTGCCCTGGCCGCCACAACCTTGCTTTCCTCCTCATTCACTGCTATTCATAATTAAAAATGCTTAAGCAATGGTACCACATGAGAAAGGAATGCAAGTTGAACCGGCGTGACGTCGTGCATTGACAGCTAATGGGGATTCAGGCCACAGGATCAGACAGAGCTGCCAACACGTGAAACACAGATAACATGGTCCTCAGCAGCTGCTGCTCCCTTCATTCCAGCCATCCCCATTCTGCAGCATGACTCCCTCGTGCAGACAAAGCCCCACACAAATAACACCCAGCTCCAAAAGCTCAGATCTGCAGCACTCGAGCATCTGTTTGACTTCACTGAGCCAAAGGGACCAAAGCTGGTTCCTCTCCCAGGAGCCTCTCACAAAGAAAGGCTGAGGGAACTGGGCTTGTTTAGCTTGGAGAGAAGGCGCTGTGGAGACCTCATTGTGGCCTCCCAGTATTTAAAAGGAGAGTATAAACAGGAGGGGGAATGACTGTCCACAAGGGTGGATAGCGACAGGACAAGAGGGAATGGTTTTAAACAAGGATAGGGGAGGTTTAGGGTAGATATTAAGAGGAAGCTTTTCACCCAGAGGGTGGTGAGGCACTGGAACAGGCTGCCCAAGCAGGCTGTGGATGCCCCATCCCTGCAGGCATTCGAGGCCAGGCTGGATGTGGCTCTGGGCAGCCTGGTCTGGTCCCAAAACAGAATTTTCTGATCTCACATCTGATTTTCACATCTCAAAGCCTTCAATATAGAGATATCGAGCATCTTATAATGCTGTACTTTCCAGGAACTAGAAAATCAAAGACTGGCTGTGTAAGTTGACACCACGATTGCACAGTTACTGATGACTTTCAATAGTTACCTGCAGCAATGCCCTGCACCACATTACTGATACAGCAGTGCAAAGGTATACCAAGCAAACGGCATATAATCTGCTCCAAGTATTTTGCTTTAAAGGAATATTCTCATCCCAAACTGCCTGCCTGTCAAACAGCTTGCAGGAACACACAGATGAGGACAAACTGTACTTTTTACCACTGCAAGCAGAACCCAGTGACCTCACACCCTGCCTGACTCAGTAAACTGCCTGGGTTTCTGCAAGGCAAAGTCATCTCTCACCAGAAACACACTGATAAGTTGCATAATAAAGGAAGTAGGGTCTGTTTGTTAGGTTTGGGTTTAGTTTGTTGTTGTTTTTTAATTTGTTTATGAATAGAAGCATTTTTTCCCAAATCAGAGCTCATCTTCCTTTGAAAATCACTTTCCTCAGAGCGCCTCTCATGCAAAGCAGCTGCCCAGCAAACAGCCAGCATACCTGCTGCAAGGTAACTGCTGCCCAGGCCCAGACGTCCCCATCACCTTTCTCAACTACCAGACACACTACACACTACTGCAAACAGCTTGGAACATCCATCTATATTACTGAACTCCCAGTAGAAATACTCTGAGCTTAATTTCCTTGTAATTGGCCAATAAATAAGAGAAAGCCTGCATAGTCTCATGATACACAGTAACACAACTGCAGTGTTTGCATGGAGAGGAGGCAGAATCCTTCCATGGTCACAGTATGGTGACCATTGACACAGAAATCCTCGCAGGAATTACTGCTTTCCTGGGCAGCTGCAGAGCTGCACTGCTGCTGACTGCATTTCCAACAGCCCCTAAGCCTTTGATTTGCAAAATAAAGTAGGTAGGGAATTAAGTAACATGAATGTAGATCAGAAGTTGTATTAGAGAATCAAACTTCTCTATAATCTTCCCAAAAGAGGGGGGGAAAAAAAAAAAAAAAAAAGGGGGAAGCAACACATAAGGATTTAAATATTTCACTTTTAATGGATAATTCAATAGATGAGCTGAAGACAATAAAGGGTTACTACCAAAGTGGGTTTTCCCCATTTGTGTTATTTCTTTTTAAATTGGCAAATGTAGGTGCAGAGTTTCCAAGACACCATATGCTGTGCAGGTCCTGAGCATTTCAAAGTAACTTAATTATAAAAATATTACAATGTTTAATTCCATCAGAAAATGGTTTAAAGGAAACTTGAGACCACAAGGAGTACAGCTGAATGCAGAACACCACTTCCCATCAATGCTCGATCACCATACACCCTTTCTGCATTCGCTGTCAATAACAGCAATGTTTTGCAGGCTTATCTCTCAAGCTGGCTGCAGGCTTTAACTGGGAACGATTCTGAAGGCTGTGAAATGCACCCTCCAGACGCTGCCCTAATTATTGTGCTCAGAATCAGATGAGGTTCTGAGGCAGCCAGCACCTTTCCTACTACTGTCAGTGAGGGAAATTACTGGGGTTGGTGGGAGCTGTGGACAAGATCGTGCCATCGTTTGGTTGTAAGGAAGAGATCTGCACAGAGTCCTGTGTATTCTTCTGGCTCTTGTGGAAGATTATTCTGTGCCAGAAGAAATGTGCCAAGCGCTCATCTTGCTCTACAACACATCACAGCCTTCTCTCAAGGCAGTGCCTGCAGAAAGCAGCACTCAGCTGTGGGACCAGCACAGAAAGCCTCAGCGGTCATCAGAGCCTGGGCACAGCTCACACACAGCAGGAGCAGCCAAGGCAGGATGCCTGGAAGGATGGTCAGCAGCAGAAAGATGCCACTGTGCCTTCATCACAGTCTGGGAAGGCAGGAGCTCTGAGCTGCTCATTCACTGAATGGCACAGATCCACTGTTTGCAGACAGCAGTCATACAAGGTTTAGGAGTAAAACTGATTGCTTTTGGATGATACATTCAAGGTGTAAATGTATTTGAAAACAAAATGTAAAGGTGTCTGAAGTACAAGAACTGTCAGTTGTGTAAATAGCAAGTCCTTAATCCTCAGTTCTTATCTACCAACGCTGTGAAAGCACAGCACTGGGAGCAGAGAAAACTGTGGCACAGAAGAGACTGAAACGCTTAACAGCCACTGCAAGCTGCAAAATATATTAAAAGATTGTTATCTCCAAAAATTAACTTTATAAAAAATAAGCTAAGATAATTTCAACCTAAGCCACTATTCGTACAGCCAAACTGGAGTTGCTCTTTTATTATGGCCATTTTCTTTAATCCAAGCATTTGGGTTGGATTTGGGGTTAAAAAAAAAAAAGACTTGTTTGTAGGCAACAAATGCACTACCTGAATTTGGGATAATGGCACCAATTTCCTCCACTTGAGATTTCAGAACAGCCATTTCTGAATTTCTAGGAAGGCGCAGGAAAAGAACTGTTTGCTTTCAAGACACATCTTGGATGTTTCAATACTTTGTATTTTTCCCTTCAAGGTTCAATTCTCACAGCTGTAGGAGGTTGTCATCCACATAATTGGCTTCAGAAGTTCCTCTAGGCCCTTGATACATTTCCTATGGCTAATCTTGCTGTGAGTAATCTCCTTCAAATACCCTGTTCAAATGAATTATCTTGATTAACAAGCAAGGTTAACAGAAAAACTCTTTAACTTGCTGACATGATTTTCCTGCCACAAAATCCCCCAATCCTGTTCTTTTGTTCTGGCCATCACTTTCATGTTAGGAAGAATATTCTTTTCCTACTATGCCAAGTGTACTGATAAATCCATTCTCTGGGCAATAGGGTAATCAAAATCAGGCCATCTTTGTACCCACTATTAATGATTTGCTTACACTGTTTAAAAAAGAAAAACCAAGTCTTACAGGGCTCTTATCTTCGTCATCAGATGAATGAATGAATTTTATCCTACCTGCACACAAGTCTTAATCCTCCAATCTTCAATCCAATTACTGAATTACAGCTTGCACAGAATGCCTTTCCCAAGCATCTGCCCCAACTCACTCAAGAGCCTACAGAGATGCACAGGCAGCTGCCTGCTTCAGCTGGGCTATGCCTCTTTCAGGCCTCAATCCAGATATTTTACTCTTTAATGATCTGCAGAAGGACAGGAAGGTTTTCCTGAGCTGAATATCAGAATGGTAGATAATGGATGAAACAAGACATGAAGAAAAGGGGAGCCTGGCCAGCATCTCAGCCAGGCTAAGCAATGGTCTACTGGAGTCTCCTCCATCTGTCAAGGTAAGGGCTGGGCAGATGACAGGGAAAGGACAAGCGGTGTGGGAAGGGAGCAGGAAATTGGCAGCAGGTCTTCCCCTTCCAGTCACACTTACAGAAATTGAAAGCATCTCACCAATAACTGTAACAGCAGTTTCACACATGATTATTAAACGCAGGTACAAGGCAGCTAGTTGAAAACAAAACAGATAATAACCACTAGAAAAATGGACATATACACCCCCCTCCCCCATAGGAAGTTTGTCAAATGCTCCAGAGATAAACACACAATTGGAATTACCACATCAGTGTTACAAAGGGATAATTGGAAGGGAGTGACCACCAGCCACACGCGAGGATCGAGTTTCCAACTGAAATCCATTTGCTAACTACTATCTGTTACAGTAAATGCCTCTGTCCACCCAGTTCTTTCAAAATGAGAACTATTCCAGCCTGCCTCCTGACCTTTTCAGAGCACTAGGAGGTCTCCATAAAGCCTAATTTCTCATCCCTGGTATTTATAGCTTGCCACGCATTGATTCTATTTTGGATCTCACACATTTTCCCCAGGGATGCCTCAAAGCTACCACCATCCTGCATCACTTTTGTGCAGATGACACCTGTCTGCAACCTCTCCCACCTTTGCTCGCGTGTTGACACATTTATTCCAGACTCAACAAATCAAATAGCTGGGCTTCGTATCTGACACCTGAAAGCTAAGCAGGATGCCTTCCAAAAAGGCTGCTGGCTGGAAGGACATCTCCACTCCCTTCAGCATCACAGAACTCTTCAAGGATGATTTTTTTATTTTAAAGCAGCACAGATGCATCAATATACTGAGTAATGTTTTCTTCCATACAGTTTATGTCACTGACATGCAGGTAGAGCATCAGATGCCCATTAGACAGAAAGTGCACAGCATCGAGCTCCTTATCCAAAAAGGAATTACCTGAAAGGACAGATGTCCTGTCTTTTAAAACCAAACTCTCCCTTTCTTTAGGGCAAACAATATTACTAAGGTTGGTAAGGCACATTTCTTCTAAAAAAAAAAAAAATAAAGTAAAAATCAAAGCAATACTAAAATGCACTGAGAGATTCTGGAGGAAAAACAAAAGCCAAGCACATAGACACCAGCATCACAATCAATTCAGGAACTCAGGTAATTGTCATTACTGTGTTACCAACTTCCTATTCAAAGTTTGAAATAGCTTTTCTACTCTTGAGAAGATGCTTCACACCTCACTGTGCACTGTGGGCCATTTCCACTGTTACTGCTTAAGCAGAAAGAACAAGACAGAAGAAAGCAAGGAAGAAAACGACACTTTGTGTCCTATCAAAAGGAGCATCTCTGTGATACCCAAGGGGATGAGAATGAAGGCAATGCTATGCTTTCTTAGAGACACATATTTGAGCCTCCTTTCAGAATGACTTGGCTATGGACAAGGAATAATCCATAACATCAAATGCTACTTCAAATGTAATTAAACAGTGCTAATTATAGTTATGGGAAGAATAGTACTACATAATCCAAGCACTGTTTCACTGAGAATAGCCTGCAAACCATTGGTGACTGCAAATCCCTCAACTACAAAAGTGTTACGCGAGGTATTCAGACCAAGGAAAGCAACCAAACACTATCATACTTCACTTCTCCATCTGAGATCCTGGCCCCAGAGCCCCAGGAGGACCAAGTGGGACTGGGTTGTTGGTGCCGAAGTCAAAAGCTTTGGGGGAAACAAAAAGATTCAGACAGTTTCAACACCTTTTTGCCCATCTGAACTCCTCACTGAGTAGCTATCCTTTCAGTTTATCTAGTTGCCCATGTCTGCACTTTCACTCCAAACCTTCAGCATATCAAAGGTCGGCTTGAATTTCAATTCTTCATTTTTCCTCCTCCCGTAAAACGAGAACACAGACAGGAACAGGTTGGTTATTTGGAAGAGGAGTGCGATCCCTTTCATGTGCTCTCAATGCAAGAGGGGACAACACATCCCAAGAGCTACACCATTTAAACCATAACTTGACAGCAGTTCACATAACAGAAATTTGTGACCCCTTTTCTATCTAGCAGCTATTTTTCCTCATTACCCATCATATACTGTAATGCTGTGAACTAGCAACAACAGAATTGTTTTTCTTCTTTAAAAAAGAAAAGAAACTTAATGATGCAGTTATGTGATACATTACACAAATTCAGAAAAACAACTATCTTCATATAGGCTTTAAGTAAATCTCAGCTTGTTACATCCTCACTTGTGGCACTGCTGGACTCCAGTCCAGTTGCTGGCAGGAGATGGAGCCCATCACACAACTTTTATTGTTGTTTTTTAAGCACTCCTGCCTATCCTAGAAGCACACTTTCAAGGCACAATGACACAAACACTGCGTGATGCACAAGGTCAAGCACAGCATCACAGCACAGCAAGGTCCAGCTCAAGTGAGATATCGAGCCTCTGTTCAAGCACATCCCACTGCTGCAGCTCTTGGGAACCAACACGGCTGGCCTCTATTCACTTCCTTCAACACAGAAATCACAGAAGCCATTAAAATACAGCCTCAAACCAAGGACAGAAACTGCATGATCTACAGCAGTGCTTTTGAGACAAGGACTTCTACAGAAAACAGTCATGGAGAAGGAGTGATTCAAAAGGCCCCTGAGTTAATAAGCCAAATACAAATTCTCTCAAACTAAAAAAATTCAGCCAGGCAAGACTTGATGGTTGGTGTTAATGAACGAAGGGTGGAAGGGATTTAAATGAAGTTAGCAGGACATTTCTGTCCACTGCACAACTTCAGGGAAAAAAAAAAAGAAAGAAAAAGTGACTTAAAAATTGTATTAAAAAAAAAAGTTACAGTAGCATCAACATTGGTTTGAAAACAGATCTTGACTTAACCTGGAAAAAACAACCAACTACAATTTCACCTACCTGCAAGGTGGTAAAAACATGGAGTCCTTCATGAGCACAGATCCAGAAAGCAGTATGTACCAGCATCTTGCAATAGTTTCTGAACTGTAAGAAAAGGCACCAGAAATCACTGCTATCGACCTTCTCTTTACAGCAGCTCAAAAACAACTCACACAAAGTGTTATCCCAGCAAAGCCAGGGCTTCGTGCTCAGCAGCCAGCGCCAGGGGAAGAGTGCCACCTGCTGAGCATCCCCACCACTGCCACCAGTCCCCGCTCCTCCCGAGGTGCCACCACTGCTGCCAGCCCCTCCTGAGGAGCCCAGCCTGCTTTTTTGCACTGGTTTCTTGGTGCACGCAGCCACGCTGCTGCTGCCAACGGAGGTCCAGCTGGTGGGCACCACTCAGGCACCAGCACTGCTACCCCCAGCTCTTGTCAAAGCTCTTAGCCAGCCTGACCGAGCTTATGTGTTGTAAGTCTTGTATCTACAACTGCTAAAAGAGGAAATGTTGTATTACAGCATGCGTTGCAGTGGTTTTGTTTACACTTCTGCTGGAGAACTCCCACCAGCAATATGGGTACTTACCAAAAGAGAACTTGGTTGCCCTTGTATCTCTCATAGCGAGCGCTGGATGACATTATTCTGAAGGAGAAGAAGACATTTAATTTCAATGGTAATCCCCAAAGATCATAAGCCATTAATCACCACATTTCAGCAGAAGCGCTTTAAGGCTTTAAGACCTCAAACTCAACTGTTTTTGTTCTAAATAAAGGATGTGCTTTACCAGAAAATTCAAATTATTACGGTGTTCTTCGTTAACCAAATAGATAACATTCAGCTTGTTCTTAAATCACTCCCACACGTTGGAATTAGCCATAGCAACAGAACTGAAGGCACTAAAATACTTCCAACGCACTTTTTGTGCTTTGTTGGCCTTCCATTTTGTGTGTTCTGAGATCATCTGGATGTCTGAAACAGTCAAAGGCATCTGCAACCCGGAGCTAACATGGGGTACTTCCTCCACAACCCCTTGCAGACAAATGGCAGTAAGCCCTGCCCTCATTGTCAGCAGAGCTCATTAGCTTGCACTCTGTGCCACAGCACTGCAGTGACACAGCTCACATTCTGCCACCTCTAAGTGCAGGCAGAGAAACCCCTGCTCACCTCCACAGCACACAGCCCGGCAGCACCACTTCCACAGTACTTTACCTCAGCTGATGCTCCCTGAAGTGGGAGAGTATGTCCAGCCCATGAAGGAAGGAGTAGATAGTATTTAAGTCCTAAGAAGACAAAAATAATATAAAAAAAAAAAAAGATGTGAGCAATTTCGTTCACAGCATCTAATCACTTTTTCATTACTTTCTCCAATACTTTAGTAAGTTCCACAGCCTCATAGGAAATTGCATTGATGCTCACAGCCCAGCTCAGCAGCCAGGCTGGGATGCACAGAATGCTCACACTTCAGCTGCTGCAGCAATGGCTGCACAGTTACCTGAGCAAGGCTCTGAAGCAGCCTGCTATTAAAATACCTCTGAAAGTATGATGTACATGAATGGGTACTGCAGCAAATGCGGTATAACAAGCAGTATGACTTCTCATATTGGATGAATAGCACCACTAAAACATTTTAACACCTGTTTAAAGAGGCAAGAGATCAGGCAACTCTGTAAAAATGCTTTGCTAAGAGCAAAGAACGTGAGAAAAGCTAAACCATACAGCACAGTGCAGAGGGCTACAGCACCTTTCCATAACACGGTACAAGTGACTTTGCACCCATCTCAGACCCAGCTGCAGCACAATGGGCCTCTGGCTCAGCCCAGCACCAGCAGCTCCTCCAGCACACTCTGACAAAGGCACAGAGCACACAGGTTTGGATTCATCTCCCTCCTATTGCTGTGAGGGCTCAGCATCACACAGCCACCCGTCAGCAGCTACGGACAGAACCAACTTTCATGAAGCAACAATATTCCAACATGCAGATGATTCCACGTGAAAGACAGGACTTCATGCAGAACAGGTAATTAGGAGAAGCAGCAGTTTGAGCTCCTCTCTGAACAGAATGCCTTCTATTCACCAAAATATCTGTGCTGTTGGTACAGACCACACGTCAAGGGAAGCTCACGAGGGCCATTCCTCACCCTGGTTTCTGTCCTGAGCAGGTAGGCTGCTGGCTTTAACAACGTGCTGTGCGTGTTATACACCAATGAGTCTCCAGCTCAGCCTCAGAAAATATGCTCTGAGTTCTCAGCACTGCACTTATACAGCATTTGCAAAAGAGAAATCAATATGAATGCTAGCATGAAAATTTACAGTGGGTTTACTTTAGGAAAGTTCTTTGGCTTAATACCCAGTGTTTAGAAATATAGCGGATACGGACTGTCGTACCAAATGAAAGGTCAAATGTAATTGCAGGCCACGTAAAACCAATAAAACTCCCACTTTTTTTTTTTTAAATGTCATTACCAAGCCCATGAAAGTTAAACAGAAGGCCTGAATGCTTAGCATTCATATCTACAAAGCTAGGATTTCCCACCGCCCAGCCTCACTGCAACACCAGCTGCCCACCACCACTGCTATGAGCTGTTCAAGCTGTGTGCAGACAGAGCTGGTGCTCCTTCATTGCTCTGGCTGCATCTCCAAGAGGTGACCGCATCCTCAGGGCAGCGCTGCCCCCGGAGCAGGGCAGCTCCTCTTCATAGAACAGAGCACGAGACCAGGAGCAGTTACTTTAAAAACCTGATGTGTGCTGCAGCACCAGCCCAACACATAACCACAGCACAAAGGGCAGAGATCACTCCTGCAGATCGCCGCGGCAGAAAGTGCCATAAAAACAACAATGCCAAAGTACAACAATAAATGGCACACGAGCAGAACTTGGAGCACCCTGAGAGCTTACAGGCAATCTCTGCCAACGTATGAAATGATTGTTAACAATAAAGCCATTCCACCATGTGCACACGGACCAAGGTCCAAGTTGTTGGGTTATTTTTTTTTTATTTCGTAATCTGCACTTTTAGAGCTTTTAACCACCCTGAAACTAAAACACCCTCTAAATAGTACATCCCAACACGCTCTTCAGTCTGCAACAGACAACTGCCCGCCCCGGTTTCCTTACGGAGGGGTCTGCCCATGTTTTCTGTCCAGCCAAGTGACATTACAAAGGGCACAGAAAAAGCAGTGGTTGTGAACGCTGCCAGGATGGGCTTGAGAGCCATGAGGGCTGGGATGCGGATGCTGCAGCAATCCCTGTGCTATGGGCACCTCCCCAGCAGCAGCATGCAGCGCCGCCTGCACACTGTTACTCACCCAGGAAAGCTGCTGAAGCACAGCTCACCCCTGTCCTAAGGACAATGGGATTTCACAGCCTTCTTTGAGTTTTATTTGAGTTAACTTTTAACAGCTTAACATCCACTCTCAGTAAGGAGTGCCCCTGCCACCCCCTGAGGCTGTATCACCTCCATGGATTAAATGGCGAAGGCAAGGAGAAGCTGTAGGGGTTGGGATGGAGGATCCAGGGACAGAGGAAGAGGATTTGTTTTGAGAGTTCTGCTCACAGCTTCTTCTAAACAAACCAACCACAGCTCAGCCAGCACAACTGCTCTCTGTTAGAAGCACACTCACATGCCATAGAGTAGTAAAAAGGTTTCTAAACCCTCCTGGGATGCTAAGGGCACTCTGGAACAAGGATGAAATTACTGCATCAGAAGTAAACATCAAACAAAAAGCTGATGTTCTGTATGATGTGACCCCAGCCAGGTGTCCCAGTAACACGTGGTTATTTTAAAACACCGAGCAGGAAATCTGTTCTGTTTCGAAGGAAAGCAGAGTAAACAGTTCCAACATGACCTCATTGTTGTGCATTCTGATAAATCACCCCAAGAGCCACCCTCAGCAGTCAAAGAGGTACCAAGGAAACTGAGGAAGCCATAAATCCCTCCACAACCCTTCTAGCACTGCCCAGCACATTACATGCAAGGGCTGAGGAAGGAGCCCCCAGCTACACCTGGTACACCATGCAGCACCAACCCAGAACTCTGGGCTTCAGATGCCTTCAATGAACAAACTGGCCTGAAGATAAGGGTTTTGACATACTCTGGGACAACAGCTGAACGTCTGAATTAAAGTAGTTATTTAAAATGTCTAGATTTCAGTAAAGCAAACAAAAGCAGTTCTTAGGAAACAGACAGCAAGCTGCCAGCAGCTCTCCTCCAGCCTGCCTTGCCTCACCCCGCAGTGATTCAGCAGGCTCCTTATATAGATTGAATGCATCTTTCATTAGGAATCCCGCCAGCCTCAATACAGACTTTGTCACCTGTAGGGGGTGCAGCAGAAGAGAGGAAATGTTGCTCAGCATGGTTTATGGTTTTCATTGCTTCCCTTCCTGTTACTTCACCAAAGGCTGGAATCCGCACCGTTTCCTTTACTCCCTGTTTAAGGCCAATTGTAAAAATAGTCCTCCCAAATTCTTTCCTGATGGTGTAACACAAGAAATAAAAACACAGAAACATTCTCGAGCTGCCTGACCCACGTTCCGTATATCCAGAGATCACTGTGGCAGAAGCACTGACCCCAGGACGCACCCAGCTCTGTCCCTCACGTGGGAACAAATCCATCCCTTGGCTGGGTGACCACAGCAGGACAGGACACAGCTGCTCCAGGCCCCCACCAGTACGTGCCCTGCTTGGTGGCGAGGCTATTTGACTTTATTAACGTTTACATGCAAAATAACGCTGCCTTTGGGCTCTCCACTTTGAGCCAGGCAGCACACCAAGAGCAGTAATTCCCTTTAAAGCACCCTCCTGCCTAGCTAGCGGCCTTTAAAAGAAATGGATACACAAAGCTGAGGCGTTGTTAGGGAGAAAAGATGGATCGCTCCATCACACAGCACTTGCACAGGACAACAGAGCTGAAGGAGCATTACTGAGGAGCAAAGCATGTCACACCTCTTGATGCAAGAAATACCAGAAAATCCAAAAGCTAGCCTGAAGTGCCTCTTGTCCAACACAGCAGCAGCCTTGAATTGCTCAGGCTGCTCCCAGTGACGTCTGTGTGAAGTGAACTGGTTCAGCTGCTTCAGGGCTACACAGCATTACTCAGGAAGAAATCAGAATGTATTTCATGAAGAAATCTTCTCTCTGAAGAAGAGCAACAAGTGAAACCTCCCTGGTCTCAATTAGCAGTCTGCTCACTCCGGGCGTTTATTTAAGAAAAGCTGAGCTTTCCTAGGATCTCGCTAAAAAACCCTGAATTGTTTACGATGACTTTATAGCACAGGATCACTGCAGGCAGACAACAGAACAGCTTCAGATGGCCAAGGGACAGCCTCCTCATGTACCCATTATCAGACAGCTCCAGGTATTGGCCGTGTTAGGACATGATACTGGGCAACATCCCGGGCTGTTCCACCCCACGTGGCCCAGCTGGCACACGCTGCTCCTGCCCACTGTGCTGCCCTCATCCAGCAGGAACAGATGCAAGGAACAGCATTTCTGCTGTGAATGCAGGAAGTACAACTGACAGCATGAGTTAACAGCACAGCCACCAAGAGGAAACTGAAAATCTGGATTCAGTTTTTCTGGACTGTCAGAAGTAACGTTTGCAGGCCTGGATTGGTTTTTCTTCCTGCAAACGCAGCACGTCTCTCAAAGGGGCTCATGCCGTTTCCTATGTCTTAAATGCACTTCCCTACAACATGCATGCGTGGCCACAGGCACAGACTTCAGAATTACATTTCACCCCTAGGAATAGAAGCATCCTTAACACAAGTTGAAAAAGGCAGATCTGCTTTAAGAACGGAGGCTCCAGAGCCACCACTACAGCTTATTTATAGGCAGAAAGCATCGCCACGCGACTACTCATTTCCAGGAGAAAAAGCAAAAAATAAAGCAAAGTTCTTCTATATGAAAATAAAACAAAAAGCGTCTCTGCTCCCCAGCAACTCCCCCACCCAGAACAGATAAACAGCCTCCACCCATGAACCCTGGACCGCGACGATAGAAGACTGTGGTAGAAAGAAAAACACTTGAAGAATGAGGGAGGGAATTTATTTTTTTTTTTATTATTGTTTTTACTGCTGTTTCATCACACTGAGTCAGCACTTCTGGAGCCCCCGCTTTGCACAAGAGGGAAGAAAGAGCAAAATCTTCCTTTGGGTTTTGCAGAGCAGATCCTGAGGCTCCAATTGCAGGGCCAGGAGCATCAAACAGCACAGCTCCCAGGCATCAGTGGGTATCTGATGCATGGCTCTTATCAAGGCTCAGAACACACGTACAGCTATGGA